GGATTATTTACAATGACAGCTATTGAACTCCGATTCTAAAAATTCTAAGCTTCTCTTGGTTGCTGTCTAGTGAGCAAATGGCGTAGGTCCTTTATGAGAGAAATAACTGACTCAATAACCTTTGCCAAGTGCGCAATAAATTGGGCACAATCTAGTGGCGCTTGTGGATTGCTTGGACATAATCTATTTAGGCATTCGTTCACTTAGCACTTTTTGGAAATACTTTCAATAAACAAAAGACATTTCTTGTCACAGGCCCGTTACTTCGTTAGAAATCCAATCCGCGATGTATCTGCCACTCAAAAACCATCACAAACTGGGTTCTTGAAGTAACACACAACACCAAATTGCCTTTCCCTCAGGTTCATTTGTTATTTTCTAATAACGAGACGGTCAAGGTGGTATACGTCCCCGACCTCATCTCATCGCCTGCATTTTGCAAGCTACCACGAGGCATTGCTGCAAACTCCACCGATTGAAATCGCGTGATCTTAAACGCCCATCCGAGATCAAAGCATATTGTGTAGTAAGAAGTTACTGCAATCAAGTAACGCCTTGAATGACAACTGAGATAAAGGGACCGCAGGAAGCTAGTTTCTTTTTTGCCTTTCAAGCACAAAATGTCTGAATAAAGTCTACCTCTCAAGGGAGTACTTCACCATCGACGTAGTACAAAATATCTACGGTGGCCGTCAAATGGGTCACGATTCCCATAGCCATGCTTCTTCTCGTCCTACAAGCATCTATCAACAGTTGACAGAAAGGCAACTCTTGAACCTCACCGCTTTCGAAGGAAGAGGAGGCTATCCAAACGAGGGTTAAACAACAAACTAACAGCCCTTGAACCCTATTTCCAATTCTTAGTGTAAACAGATTGCATCCTCCTACTGAGTGGCCTCCATCATGATCTTCGCTTGGAAGATGCTGCACGCAAAAACACGACTGAACCACTTTTCGTGTTAATTTCACACCAGCACTCACAAGTTGTTCTTCATTTCCACCAAAAAATAGGAAATCGCGCCCACCGTAATTCACCCACCCACCGAGTGTTTCACCACCAAAGTTAGATTGTTGGAACTGCTTTTCCAAAGCAGGCGCTGCTACCGCATCCTCCCTAAGTACTGCACTACTACTGTTTAAGAATCGACATCTGTCCATGATTTCACCGTGCTCACGGCCACTGCGTTTTACATTCCCCATGGCAACTTTAAAATTACTTTGGAAGGTGCCATCAAACAGCCAGCGATGCTGCCAAGTATCAGATTAACACACTGGATACCCTTTGAAAAAGTCAATTTTACCTTACCGACTGCATGGGCGGTGGAATATCCACCGGGGAGCATCGCTGAACTTCGAATGTTGTGATCTGGAAGACATGAAAACAATGATACAAGCCTAGCTGGTGGAAAATAGGACACCTTCGAAGTAAATCTTTCCTTAAGGGACCTTTACTAACCTTAAATATGCATCTATACACCTAAATTATGCTAACAATCCGTGAAGACATACCCTCTCGATTTGTGCTGGCAGAAGAAGGCTAATACTGTCATGGTCTTACAATCCCATGAGGACGTCGACAACCTTTTCTAGGGAAGATGAAAGCTTTAAAATGTGCCGTACTAAATTAAATCTGGTATAAATTCACGAAAGTCTATAGAATGAGGTGGAGGGCACGAGTTTAAATATCCATCAGTAGTTCCTTGACGGTCGAGTCGAAGCCAAAGGAGGGCCGGTTGAGCATCTCCATCGCAGCGTTAGTAAGACTATCCCTGAAGGCAAGTTCACCGTCACCTTTGTTGGAGTTAGACAGAGCCTGTTCCAGCACCTCCTCCAGTCCGGCCCGCAGTCGCTCTGCCACCACGACAGCGCTCAACGCTCCCACATCGGTCTGTGGAAGCAATCACCAAAAATGGGCACTTTTAATGACGAAGATGAAAAGGGCTTGTAGAACAAAGAAACGGGATGCGAGGTGGAATCCCCCCATTCAACGATGGGTTTATAGCCTCGGCAAGTTCCGTTTCTGTTTTGGTGCTTTGGGCTTGCGTTCACCTCTGGCAAGAACACGTACCGCCCTTAGTCAGATGACACTTAACAATTACAGGAAGGTGTATTTGGTCATCGGAACTCACAGCCACAAGGATGGTACCAAAAAACAGCAGAATTGTCGTGACATGCACTAATATCGCCAGAACTGGTGTCCTGGTAAACGTCTCTGCTTTCCAAAAGAATCTACGCAAACACCACTTAAAAACTCAGTCTTGTTTAAACCCATGAAGCAGAAAAAAGTACACCAGAGCAGGAGATGTGATCACATAAAAAGGAAAAAAAGTAGCTGACAACCGCCTCTCTCGTTTTTCAAAAGAACAGATCGAATCTAACAAATTAGTTCAATTAAATAAACGCAGTTCTGAGGCGCCTTCGGTCAGATGCATCGGTCTCATTCTGGGAATTTTTCCACCTCACGACCTTGTGGTACTAATTGAACATGACCTGGAGGGAGGTCATCATCCTTCGACAAGGGCTGAAATCTGGAAGCTTTACGCCGCAATCTAGTTCATGATGGACCAAGTGTGCATAATCCAATCGACAGATATACGTCGAGGTAAGTAAATAATACATATTTTGCAAAAGAAAGCTAGGACAAACTTGCAAGAAAGTTAAAAGGTTAAGAATCAGCAAGCGCGAAGGTGATGTATCAGTGAATTCATTCAAAATCACACGATTAGATGTCTCGAAAACCCTGTTACTGCAAATTTGCTACGGTTAAAATAAGACCATGAAGGAAAGAAGGTCCTATGAACAACTTCCCTTTTCTCTAAAACGATCAAAACAAAATAGGTCATTAAGCTTCTGGCAATTTTGACCTGTTTTTCAGGCAGTTTAGAAAAATTCCTACTCGAAATTATCAAAGTCTGATTGGCTGATTAAAGCAGCCATGAGAGTTTTGAATTCAACGAAAATTTCGGTTGTGATTACTGCTTTTCCATCGTCTGTTTGATTTCACTAGAGCTGGTGGTGATAGTGTGGAGTAATTATATTTTTCCTATGATTATATCTTGCTTTTCAGCTCTCCTGGAATCGCGCTGGAGCTATGGTCAGCCTACGCAGATCAGGCAATTTCGACGCAGAGTCATAGAGGAACTGGCATTTTTGAAGACTCATAGCAGAAGGACTGTTGAAGCCACGCCGATCTCCAGCTACAGTTTCAATCTCCACTTCTGGGTCTCAACCAGTAACGAAGTAGAATTTGGAAAGATAAATGACTGCTTAAAGTACTGTTAGTGGGAACTAAGGATCTGCCATTTCCCAATTTCGCGGTAATTTGGAAACAATCCAGACAGATGTCTATGCAATACATTTAAAGGAGTTGAAGAAAGGAGAGACGGGACCGAAATCAGAGTAGAACTACGAGGGATCACATTGCATCTCAAGAGATTAAGGAAATTTAGCGTGTTTAGGGCATCTTTCAGTCATGTTTAATGTGACCGACGAAAATGGCAAGCAAATGTCGTCGTGGAAGCCACCAAACTAATGATTTCAATCCACACGCATTGAGAGGTGACAATAAACTTCAAGGAGTATAAATTTTTTGTTCATTACTTATTTCAAGCGGGTTATATAACACTGCTGAAAAAATGGCTTGAAGACTAAAAAGTGATAGGAAATGACTTTTAGGTTCATTCCAAGGTTCATTAAAAAAATTCATCCCCATCAAACGCAGGCATAACTACAAATGTTTTCATGAGTAAGAAGTGGTACCAGTTACACCGTTTTACCTTTCTTTTAAAAGTGAGCTACTTCCTTATTAGCGTGTCTTATAACATCGTCAATTAGCATGTCAGGCACAAAAGATCCTTCCAACGCAGTGGTGGTGCTGAAGTGAGGCGAGAGAAAAAAGCGACTGCAATTCCTGGTACTTGAGCAACCAGATTTCCAGCCTTTCTGCATGCAAATAATAAAGCTAATTAATAACTCTTGCGTCTTACAACAAAACCAGGGACTAATTGGACTGCAATTTTCAACATCAAGAGACCCTATTTATTGTAGCTGTTGGCGGCAATTAAATAAAACAAGAATTCACCGACAGGTAAAGAACAAGATAATACAAATAGACAGACTTGACTTTTCTCCTGGGATGGAGACGGAACATCAACGCCCATGGATTCACCGAGACGAACCCAAAGAGATTCCACCTTCTCCTCCTGTGCTGAGGCGGCCTCTGCCTCCGCCACAAGGTCCGACGGCAGACCGATCGACCGAGCCACCTGGAGGCCGTAACTCCGGTCGCAGACTCCTACCGAACATAGTAAGAGATAATAAAGGGAACTAACAAGCAATTGGAGCGGAATGAGGAAAAAACTGCGAATTGCTGTTATGAGTACCCACGACCAAGAGAAAGTGCAGCGTTAGGCAGTTGAAGATTTCGAAATGGAAAGAAGAGTGTTTAGAAAAAATGGGACATTTAAAGAAGCCTCCTGAGACAATGCAGTTTTTTGATAAATATTGCTTTTTTTCTAGGAGCCAAGTAAACACCTAGCCCTCGATACCTTTGCATCCACCTCACTGTTAATTCCCAAATGTATATCCCATTAATGCAACGGTGGTGTCAAGAAAATGACTTCGATTGTGAATGAAAGAAATGGTGGTGAAAAGAACCTCAATTTCTACCTGCATTAAAGAATTCATCATGAAAAGTCAACGAAAGGTACTTTAGCTGGACTGACCGGGCTCCACCTTGTAAAGCATGACAACATCGGAATCAGGGATGTTGGAAGAAGAGCCAGAGGGAGAGCGTTGAAAAACCTCAGCAGAGACTCGGTAGTTGGCTACGAGGCCAGGCAGGAGGTGGGCCAGGGAAGTGAGCTCATGGAAATGCGTGGCGAAGAGACTGAAACAACCCACGTGACACGCAAGATGCTCCGAGATGGCCCAGGCCAGCCCGAAGCCATCGTACGTGGAGGTGCCCCGGCCCAACTCGTCCACTATGACCAGCGAGTCACGGGTAGCCAACTGCAGGGTATGCAAAAAAGTAAGACGAGGTACATGGTTGCAACGAAAGAAGATATCCCTTTTTCTTAAATGGTCATTCGTTATGAGACATCATAGTCTACTATTCACCTCTTCCCCAAGAAAACACGAGCTTGTTGGAAATCTCGTTTTTGTAATAATTTTTGTCACCAGAGGGCAAGAAAAAAACACATCCCTAGATACCCTCACTTCTAACACCTCACTTTTATTGTCCAACCAACCATTTTATTCGATATGGGATCATGTGGGCGCCCAGTGTCACTATCAATAAAGGATGATTAATTATCACTCGGTAAATACCATCAGGAGTAATACGGAGGATGGAAGTGATGGGAAAGCGGCATCGACCCCTTCCTCCCCACCCTAACACCCCTCACTCATTCTTGCTGCAGAGGACAATTTAGAGCACATTGACAGATGAATTTTAACCGGAATGACTGTAACAGAGGACCTTCAAAAGATCTGGACGGCAACGATTGGTACGGTCCTCGTACGCAACGTAGTTACACACATTGTAACAACATGTGCGACTACAGGCGCCTTTTCATACTCTAACGAATTAGCCGCCACACCGACTGCATACCATCTGCGACCACTAGTCTCTCTGACCTTCTGTGTACTGATAAATTTATCGTCATACAGGTGTCTTGCAACTCCTTCGAGAAAAATCTCACGCTATATTAGTGTTAGTGCAGACAAATCGACTACAAATTTGTAACCCTAATTTTAATGGTTGAATACTGCGCCAAAAGGACATGGAAAAAGGGCAATTTATAGTAGCTATTCGAGTGTGTAGAGAATCGCGACAATGAGGCATTTGGTCAGAACCGCAAACACTATTTCTCCATAATGGTTGGTAACGAAAGGAAATAAACAGTTACAGTGCAGGCGTAAAAGTAAGAATTTGGTGGTGGTAGAACCTGCCACATCAGCCAACAAGAACGCGCAATCACCCCAGATGGATGGATGGGTAGTAAAGAGGAGCCACTGCATATTTTGCATCTCATTAGGTGGACTCTACTGTAAGGTGGTCATTCTCATAATACACAGTCGCTATCTCTCACACTACCAAGGTAGTTGATTTCAACTTGATACACCACTAGAGTATGAGGTTGATTGAGTGATGAAACGCAGACGTGATTCAGACACCACAGCTGTATAACAATGGGATTCCTATAAACTGCAGATCAACGCTAGATGCACGAGAACTAGAGGAAAGCAGACCAAACGCACCCGGAGGACAGCGGCAGTTTCGAGCATTTCGGCCATGAAGGTAGAAATGCCACGGAGTTGACAATCGGCGGCCCCGACGCGCGCCATGATGGCGTCCACAGGGATGAGGTCTGCAGCAGAGGCGGGCACAAAACTGCCTGCCTGTGCCATCGCCACTACCACGCCAGTCTACAAGGCGCAATTTTTACGAAAAAGTATTGAAAAAAAACTTACATTTTGGTCTTCAGAATTCACTCCGTACTACTAATTCAAATTAACGAAAGATTAATACGAAAGGAGCCTCCTATCCACACTGGTGAAATAAACAAGCCTACCTCACTCTAAATGGGGACATCAACGAAAAATAAACCCTTAATCTTTTACAGGAAAATTACATTAGAATGAAAACGGGAATTCCGTTCAGTATAGCAAAATGGAGAGATTTCCTTGCCAAAAACACAGTCCAACACCAGAGGATTCGAGGAAATCGCTCCTTGTGAATCGCGTGTGATTAACAGCAGTGGCACGTGATCCAAGCAGACGTGTGCAGATACTAAATTTACTAATGAAATATTAACTGAGGGCATGCAGTCATTGTACCACATTACAAAGATGTTTTTTTTTTCACCAAAAAGATCTTGACGGGTCGGTACTTCTAAGATCAAAGCATTGAGCTGGTGTGTATCCGAACAGGAGGCTTTTGCATTCACTTTAATATTTTACTAGGCAATTATTAACTGCTATTTTCTTGCCAAGGACCAAACGCTTACGGTCGAGAGATAGCTACCCAATACAGCAAGATGATGTGGAAATATTCCTTTGGTAACAGATGGGGCTAGTTGGTCAACGAAAGAAGAATGCACCATTGGCATTCTTATAAGACAACGCAATACCCCGCACATCATAACGCAAGACTTGTCAAAGATTTGCACTTTAGAATTGCGAGGGCAGAGAGAGAGTGAGGTGGGAAGAGGAGAGGAGATGCCTCCTTATTCCCATCCTCCTCATTCCGTACTTTGCTAAGATAATGATTACTGCGTCTTCTTAAAATTAGTATCCCACAGTCTCATAACCAAACGCCAGAGTGAATAGTTGGGAAACAAAAGTATGACGGAAACAGTGGTGGCTAGGATTAAGTTTTTTGCCTGGTAAACTTGTATCACTCTAGGAAAGCATTACATATCGCTGTTGTGATTAGGTAAACTTACACCACGAATGTAGGTTGATTTTCCACCCATGTTTGGCCCAGTTATGGTCTTGAAAATTTGCTTACCTAAAACAATCGGACTAACCTGTTAGCTGAAGTATGAAATGATGCATAAAACGTTATAAACAAGTGAATGGACAAGATCACCACAAATTATGGAGTTGACATTGCTTAGAAATCTCCAAGACATCTTATTTTCATAAAATGATGTCCAGTATCAAACCCTAACAGAGCCGTCGATGTAAAGGCACCACAAATGCGAAATTAAGTTAACACTAAGGCAACGGTATGAACACAACGATAGGGTGAAAATCTTTCGGAAAGTTCGTCATTTTGTAGAAAAATAACCGCTACTTACAAAATTAGAGCAAAAATAAAACTTAAAGGTAAGTTTCAGAAAGATCAAGCGTTTCTAGCAAGCCTGCACATCAGGTAGGGAGAGCGATTACCGCGTTCAAGATGGACGTCATTTGGAATGACAGAGACACCATCCTGGAACTCGAGGCAGGGATGACGAAAGTCGCGCAGATGAATGCCGCCGCCACTACCGTCGGGTTGGTGCGCTGTGAAGCGCGGACGCACGTAGGGCTTGGGTGCAGAAACCGCCGCAACTGCCAAACTGACCACCACGTCCAACTGTGCTGTGCAGTTGCCCAGCGCGTAAAGAGGCTCCAAGTAGCCAGCTAGGAGAAGCAAAGTCAAGCATTTGGTTTAAAGGAAGCCAGCAGAATGAGTCCTGGAGGAAAGTGACGGGTGGAAATGGGGTTTCCATATGCTAAGACAATTCTACTTCATCTGAGTCAATAAACTCGCGTGTTTTATGGGTCAAGTTGTAGCCAACAGAGCGGTTTCGACGGATCAGGGAACAATCAAAATGAAGGCAAGAGGGAACTGGTGAGACTCCTTTTATCAAATTCAAAAGTACGATGACCTATACAACTTGAAAAACACTTGAAGTAATCCCCGTTGCATAACATCATCCAAGCATAGCAAAACTTCCAAGAGGATCCTCCCCCAAACACAGTCAAACTAGTAAGGAAGCATACCTAGATGCTCCAACAATAAGCAGCATTGCTAGTGAAATAAATAACCTCGCCGTTGCAACTTCTTTGTTTCATCATCGGCCCTGTTTCGTGACCGATTTCGGATCCTTTCTCGCCCACCTCCTGCCAAGAACGATGTCCCGTATGGGATTAGGTGGATCATTTCATTCCCATAAGAAGTAGCCTCTACACCAGTAGCGTGACCAAGTGTCCATGCCACCAGCCTCAGAAACTCACCCGTTACAGCAAGAATCTCTTTGACAATACACATTTGAGTCTTCGCGTACTCTTCTTTCAAAGCGTTATGACGTTCGCTGAGGCGACTCATTTCCGTGGACTGACAACGCACTCCGGCCTTTTGCATATCGACCTTCTTCAACCAACTAATTCCGCGAATCTGCTTCTCCATCTGGCAAAGATAAGGAAGAAGGTTTCAGCGAGTTAACTGGATTCTTCATTGCAAAGTGTGAAAATATTGAACAAACCTTGAGTGTCACTCGAAGAAAATACCCAACTCCTTCTGCAGATTCCAATTTGATCGACTTTCCAGGCTCTAGACCAACTTTGGAGGCAACCTAGAGTTTAAAAAACGTTCGGGAACCTGCTCCCAGCTGCGTATGAGCAAAACATCCAACTATCATGAATATAAGCATTCAATTTTGAAAATAATAATGCCACAAACAAGACAACACAGGAAATAAAAGTACAACCACTGCCAAACAAGTACAAAAATTAATGTGTGTAAAATGCAAAGTTGGTAGTTTTCAGTCAGAATTGAATGAAGAGTAGTTACTATATTGCTTGCAATAGAATAACTGGCAAATTATTATTTAATTAATTAATTATAAACATGACTACACAAGCACTTTCAAATGGCCTTTAGAGTACACCAAGAAACATGCTACTGATGAGGGATAGGAGTAGGGCAAGTACTTATTTTACCATGGGAGAGAGACCTTAAAATACATTTTTTTAATAATGAAGCTACTTCCTTCATGGGAGCACTTTAAAAATAAGTCGAGCATCTTCAGCACCACCCAAAGGCACATTTTTTAGTGCGTGAGGGAAAACCGTTAAACAAAGTAATGATCACCCTCCATGAATAATTCCGCCTACGCGAATGTATGCGCGTCCGCCCCATCCGCGTTTTATGGAATTCAAGAAGGGGAGGGGAGGACCATAAGGAAGACTCACCTCCTCAAATTCACGAAAAATATCAGCTTCAACGGCTTCCAAGTGTTCCTTTACGCCTAAAGTGGAGAGCAGGCTAAAAATTATACTGTAGGGGACTCAAACAACCATAGTCAGTCCGATTTTGAAGAACCCTGTGGACCTTCAGCAACACTTGGACCCCAATTTTAATCATGTCCACAATGTCGTAAATTAAGAATGCTTGAAAAAGGTGGAAACGTTTGTTGGGCTTAAGATGTGTGCATCAATTTGCACTGAAAAATTGGTAATCAAATTCGAATGTTGCAGACGAGGAGTACTCCGCATTTAAGAGCAATTTGAAAAAAAAAAACATTTAAACTGTACAAGATCCCCTGTCAGTGACGAATGAGAGTGAGTATTAAGATAATAAGCACCTCAAGTCGGGTAACGAAATGGGATCTACCCATATATACTTACATGAAAGCGAATATTGACATACGTTCCTTCCTCAACGAGAAAACTTAAACAAAAAGTGACAGTTAAGACATCCACTACTAGAGTAGCAGAGGAGGTTCCACTAGGTTGTTGAAAGCTCAAAATGACTTAATGCGACCGGTTATCACGGTTGACAAAGAACATGCGTCACGTATTTGTGACGCCAGGCAAATCTGCAATAGCTGAAATGTTTGGAAATGGGCGAATAAAAGCGGTTAGAAGTAGGGGCTATACCGCAAAACAAAGGAACCGACTGACCGTCCCTTATTTACTAAAGAAACAATGAGAACTAATATGGTGAACAGAGGTATCAAAAAAGGCGTATATTAAGAGAATACAAAGCTTTCCCAAGTACTAAAAGAAAACTTTTCCTAAATTTATAATTTGTTCCATAGGCCTAATGCGAAACTTTGGGTTTGACTGTCAGCTTCCGTGCGTAATAGGAAGTCTCACTTTGTTAATGCATCACTTCGAGTTAGATAAGACACAAAATGTCATTGGGAAAAATATTGGAAGTATTCTAAACCGTTTGCTCATTACATCCTTCTGGAGACGCCATGTATTACACAAATTCCTACGAGCGTTGCAAAATATTCAAATACAGTGGCAATGTTGGAAGAGGCAACCATGTTAGATGCCCCCTAAGCGACCAATCAAACGACAAATGAAAGTCGGTAATGGAGAGGCGATTTCGAAAACAAATAGCCAAAGGGAATCTAAACTCTTTTTTCTTTCCTCGAAAACCTATCAAAATTTTCGCGTGACGGCAGCATTTCTGAATAGACATTGCGAAAGTACTCTGCCCCTTTCACCCACAAATCATTGATACAATCGACCTTGGAGGTCCACTAAATTGGTCACAAAATGGTGTAAATTTATTCGGCAAACATTAACAAGTAAAAATGAAGGTAGAAGCCTTGGATTAAACAAAAAACTCCGACTTTCCGCATGGAATAACATAGACTGAATTAGTAGGTTGGATAGAATATTTGCCGTCACCGACAAAGGGGCGAAACCTTGACCGACCGATCAAAACTGCTTCAACATTATCGATATCCCAGTCGAAATGCCGGTGGGCAACAAATTCAGTGAATTCCCAGAGGTATTCGTATCACAGACCGGAATAAACAGGCAGAGATAAAAACATATCGTTCCTAGTCAAGGCTTTTGATAAAAAGCAAATTTGGTTGTAAGGAGACCTCATCTAAAAGATTGAAAAACCACTATTCGCGGCCTCCACACTTGTTAAATTTACTATACTGCCTTCAGTGCAATGAAAAGGGGAACATCAGTTGCCTGAGGAAGCTTAAGAGCAACCGATTACCACCGCTACGTACCAACGTCCTTAATACGCGCAATGTACAGTCCCACACAGTAAAGGGAGACGTAATATAAGGATCACAGTCGGAAAAGCGATTCTTCTCAACGCAGCATGTATTCAGCACTACACCCTCCTACCCAGACCACGGGTAGTTCCAATGCGCCTGACTGACTGGCTAGGGGATAACCAGTGTGAACACTGGAATCACTAAAAGCAAGGCTCGAAACCCAAACACAGATTAATACGGAAACGACCTCAACAATGACAGTACCGTTCAGCCCTCTAGCTTTCCAATTTAGGCCTCCTTAGCAAGCATCTTTCATTGGTAACACAAAAGCCTGTATGAAAGCGCAGTGAGAGGCTTAGTGATAAAAATGGCTTGAAACCCGATTTGAGTGTTTGAAATAATTAATGAGGATCGTTTTAATTCAGATGAAAAAAGAATTAATTACTCTGGAGTTAAATAGCCTGAAATTACTACACCCCCGCATATTGGCGAAGTGTAAGCCAAGATATACAAATTTATTAAATATCATATACTTTGCTACTTTTCTTGCATGACAGACACGAAATGGAAGGGAGACCGGCTAGCGCACTTCAATACCCTCAACTTTCCAATCACAAAAAAAATTTCAACAAATTTTATGATTCTTCCCTTCTCCCCAAGACATACCAAGAAAATAAATCTGTACTTCATTAGGCAAAAGCAAAACAAATGGCCATAACAGTTGATGAAACAAAACTTATTGTGTGTGGGTCATTATGATGCCCTCCTTCTGAAAAGAGATGAGGTTAGAAGGGCAATGATTTTGACGCTACTTTAAAGACACGACAAATAATTGTTCTCTAGTAACTTCACGACCCAATGTAACTCCCTTCCAAACATTTTAATGGGTAGTTCAGAAATTTTATCTGGCGAAACACAAGCAGGAGGCAAGGGAAGGGGCTTACTTTGTAGAGCTTCGTCAAAATCCGGCCTAACGATGAATTCGTTCTCCTTAGCTGCTTCAAGATCCAGCGTGGACTCAATCATTTGGACGAACTTACTGAAGTTCCTTATCGCCGTCTGGATTTAAGAGAGCAGTCAAAATTACATCGATTTTGAAAATGCAGGACGTTGTGAAAAGTAAATTCATAATGAGTCTAAAACCAATTTGATGACACACGAGTTTAGCTCAAATGTTGAAATCCAATTCATTGTATTGAATCTGCTGAGATGTTCACTGCTTCCGGAAATATAATCCAGTTAGGAAAAAAGTTCGTCAATGACAAAGCAAGGACTTACAGAAAATAGAGTAGGTTTACAAATCGACTAGCATTCCTCTCAGGTAGACGATAATTTTGGTTACTAAAATATGGATGTTTTGCCAACCGCAAGCCAGACAAGTGCTGACTTATACCATTCATATTTTGGCCAATTTAAGTAATTTTTGAAGGACTGACACCAGAGAACTTTATGTAGTAAATGACAGTGTCAAAGTTCCCAGGATAATCGCAATCAAAAGTAACCACTTGACTAGTAAACCCTGAAAGTAGTCATCAACATAAAAAGTCGTGTTAAAAAATTTTGAGGTAGGCTAGCGAAACAAATTTAGTCCCCTGCGAAATGATCTCCACAGAAGAAAGGGCTAATGCTTTGAAAAATCATCCAGAAAGTTGCGTTTATTGAGAATGCTAAAGACAATTGGCTATCCACAGATTTGAGAAATCAGTACTTACTTGAAGATCTTTCACAAAGCAGTGTTCCAAGAGCAATGCATGCTTGCTTTTGCTTCGATAGAGCTGGTTTATCATTTCCGGAAGAAGTCCCACCAATTTGTACACACGGTAGACATCCTAAAAAGTAAAAGAGGAGACGAAATTGTACTTTTAGTCATCAAACTGACTACCTTCAAAACAAGAAAGGCACCCAAGCGGCTGATTGGCCGTGCAACTAAAGGACGAGCGGCGCCATTGGCTGGGAAGGAGTATTTAGTGGGCCGCCGCTCCTGAGTCCACTTAACACAAACAGCAAGATGGGAAAGTTGGGAATGCCCTTCCTTACCACTCTGACACTCACGCTTCTCCTGACAACACGAGAGAGCTGTTGTACGAGGCTGCAGAACGCACCTCCGGCTATGCTATCAACCGTGGGTCTGTTGGCTTCCTCCCACTCCCAGCCACCTCCCGACCCCTACGACCTTGTACCACCTACTGACGACTCTTGGGGTAAGTGGCACCCGATTAATTGCCTTTACTCATCATCTCACGGTAAATATCCGATAAACTTGCTATCCCCTTTGAAAGACAAGAGAAGCCACCTGTTTATTCACATCTGAGAGGTGTAATTTATTCACTGCAAGGATTCATGTATCCTACTTAAGTAAGTAGAGCAGGCTCAAGTTGAGCGCGACCTACACGATTTCAAAACCAGCTGCATGAAATTTACTTACCACCAACTGTACTATACTAAGGAACCTTTGTATGAGAAATGGATTTATTTGCAAAGAAAACCATATCGCAACTTCCTTTCTCTTCATCGGCATCAAATAAGATCCCAAGGAACCCTCGTTCACAAACAAGAATCCAGAAATAAATGTAGCTAACTCCTTTATGAAACAGTCATAGGGGCATAGAACTCAATTATGCTTTCAAGAAGTATTAAAAGCATTCCTTTATACAAAGGAATTCTAAATTTACGCTGTTAATTAACTTAAAACAGCCATGGAAAATCCAATCATCACTGGGTTGAAAACAGTCCCAGATGGAGACGGCCTGGAGAAATTCTGAACCTAATTTCTTCATCGCTACTGAGCTGTCACATCTTTAGTTTTAAGCTGGGAATTTCGAACATCACGTCTTCCTCATTGGTCATGGAAACTTGAAGTTATTCAACGTACTTTCGTAATCATTAATGAAAAATTATCTCTTCATCACACACTTTAGAAGCCTAAAAAATACATCTGAAAATGAAAGGGAAATTCACTGCCTAAGCATTAATGCGTTCAAGAAAATTCGAACCGACGTGGATCACCCATTTAGCCACTTCTCAACAATACCAACTGGATTTTCAAGCCTGACTTCTGTACCTTATTTTCAAAACTTCAGATGAGGTCTACCCACCATTGTTGAGGAAAAGGCCATGGGCACTGCCGGACCCACTGCACTGCTGCCTTCTGAGACTCAGCTGCTGCCGCAGAAGAGGTTCCTCCAACTACTCGTGAGGCGAAAAGGGATAAAAAAGACAAGGCACAAGACACGAGACTGAACGCCCCTACTTATATCTTATGCGTAATTTACTGAAAATAAAAAGTTCCCACACGGTGTTTGGATTAAACTAGATGGATTAAGGTACTAGACAGTGTGTATGATTGTCAATTTCGTTGAAACCATAGTGCTTGTTGGCTGTAGTAAATAGGAGACGCACCCCTGTGATTGAAAAATTAGCATTTAGTCGATGTCCTAAACCAGAAGTGTACTCTATGGCAGAGTGGACTCATCAATTAAATGAAACAATTCTGCCAGGAAAAAGAAAACATTTTCTAGCCAGAGATACACATATTCAGAAAGACATATCAAGGTTTTTGATAAATCGTGATTCGAAATTAGATAGCCATGTAAAGAAATATGCATTACTTTCTTCGACGTTAAAGGGTTGGATTTTCTTCAAACATTTTCAAAAAAGTTGTCACAAATTTAGTCGCCTAAAGAGAAATAAAAAAACACGTAGTAGGATGAAAACAAACAACTGAATCCCCTGTTTTTTGCCAACCAGATAAGGAAGGCAAAGCCATCTTGCCAAATATCACTTGAGCACTACATGTCAAAAGCATGACAACTTAACCCACTCATTATACCGTTGATGGGGGCGTCTTCATTACAAAAACGAGCAACACAGCCATGGATGCTGAGCTGTTCCCATGGCTAAAACTTAGGGGAAATTGGCAAAAGCCCAAATATGAGAGTGCTTCTACAGGGTAAATAAATAGACCCATTACACCATTGTCAAAGCGCCTAGTATTTATTCCACTTCAACTCTACAACCCTTACACCGACAGACATTGAGTTGTCAAACGATTAATTATCTAATTAGATAGTGAGTGTCAATTGCGAGTTCCAGATAGCATTTCTTTTCTAAGCGATGACACGATTCCTCTGCATAGATCGAAATTAAGAGATGAATAGAAGAATCCACCTTTTGTGTATGGTAAAATAAATTAGTTGGAAATAGAGCTTAAAATAATAATAATGGACTTTGTGAAAGCAAAAGAACTGCAAGGCAGGCAATAGGGGGGATGCATTGTTAGGCGGATTGCAAATAAACTAACCTTGATAATTGAAATAGTCCAATTACTTTAGATTCTTGTGTAAAGTATGTGGGCCACATGCCCAAAAAGAAAGTAAAATATGCCCTGAAAATACGCCCATTTTTGGACACGTTATTTCAACAGAGATGGAGACACACAACAAAGAGTACCACAGGTCCAAGTAGAGTTGGAGAAAAAAAAGTAAACACTTAGAAGGCGCCAGAGGTGCGCACTTTTGGAACATGGGTATAAGTGAAACTTGCTACAAAAAAATAGCATTGTGGACGAGCTTCGTAAAAATGGCTTGAGTGAACCCCGCGGCTACAGGCTAGCACCTGCTTTCATTTCTCCAAAACAGTCTTTTGTGGGGATTCAATACTATTTTTTTCTACCGCGTAGGAGTGTGTCAAATGTTACATGTGTACATTTTTTCACGACGACAGATAATGCCAGTAAATTATCCATCTGTAGAAACCTATCATAGATAGGGACCATAGTGCATTGTTGAGAAATTATTGTCACTGCCATTTTTTGGTTCTCCAACAATAGAAAAGATTTCACGCGTTCCCATCGCAATGTAAGGGGAAACAATTCGCCTCAAAGTAAAAATAGAGAAGGGTTCCTATTTGGCAAAGAAACTGAATCTGATGAATGATTAGGAATCTGTTCGCAAAGCCAATTAATTAATCTTGGGCTTCCGTCTAATTTGAAAAAAAATGGGACAACAGATTATCTAGTAGGGACACGAGAAACGCAAAGGCTCCATCTTCTTGTCCCGCCGACTAAAATAATGAGAGAACGCGAAGAACGGCAAAAGAAGGTCAAGCAGTTTTTGTGGCATATCGAAGTAACTGGAAAATTGGTGATTTCGCAATTATGGTGGGATGAGAGAGCGGGCAGTACCTGGACAATTACCTTCACTAAAAATCCTTCAAATTGTAGAAAATGT